TTTAGGATTAATTTATTTACTTTTTTTTGTTGGGCACCCATCGATCAATGAATGCATCCAAACATGGGTGGAAAATTAGGTCGGAAGTCGGAACAGAATGACAATAACGTGTATCTCTGTTATGGCTGTATACATTTGGACGATGGAAAAAAAAATTCCATTCCAACTCATGAAGAAAAAGTCGCCATGAGAGATCAGAGATGGAAAGGGGCAGAGCTTCATTTTTATAATGTATATATTCTAATCACCATAGTTGGGCAGCTACCAAATTGAATTGAATGTGGCCCAGAAAACGAACCCAACGGGAATTATTGCCTTTATTTTCTTTACTTTATCTACATATTTGTTCTTCCAACCTTTGTTCTTATTCCATATTTTTACTTGGTTCATGTATATAAGACCAAATGCTAGCTAGCTAAAGAGAAACTTTTTTTTTTTTAAATGTTGCCCATTCTATTTTCATGTATAGGCCGGTGGGACTGAGGTAAGAATGGATTTTGGACAAGCTAATGTCTAATGAGATGGGCAATTTGTGAATAGGTTGTAGACAAAGACCTCTCCATGGAACCCCTTTTGTCCTCTTTCGTTTATGATCAAATTTATGGAGAATTCATGATTTATATCAATCAGGATCAGACAAGTGTCTTTGCATGGATGCTTTGGTCAATTCATGGCGGGCTGTGCATTAATAAGGTCTGTTTCAGTTTCATGTTTGTGGCATTCACAGAGTTGACAAAAATTAACAGACCAGACCGTCCAAAATGTTAGACCACTCAATCATGAATCATGATCTAGTGAAAACTCCTAGTTCTTAGAGATCTAGTTCTAGGGCTTAATTATGAGGGTTTGATATTTAATCAATGACTCATAACTTTAAAGCTTTTGAGTAAACATATACTAGGATTTGAAAAGCAATTAGGTAAGATATTCTTTCCGTGAGGCTTCTAACTTGTTCTTTCAATGTCTATCAAGAGTCTAGCCTCTAATTTGGTCCATGCAACTCCAGACAACAATGACTACCGACCAGCCAGAAAAAAACGAAGAAGGAAGAAGAGACAGGAGATGGGTGTGTGTGTGTGCGTGTACTCATGGAGACGAGAACTGTTGCGTTTCACATTGGATTGGATTGGATCGGATCTTACCGTGTTAGACGTACTTTCACTGCCTCACTGCCCAGAAGTGATAAACACGAGGAGCTTTATCAGGTTATTCAGCAAGCCCGCTCCTGCTTAATAATCCTCAGTCGAGGAGTGGTGGCGGACTGCCGGCCGGTGGGCTAGTCGAGAGTCGAGACATTTATTTGATAGAAGCGCCAAGTTGGGTTGGGTGATTGGGTCCAGCCTCCATCGGCCACCGCTCCAGCTAGTCAGCTACTATAAAATTACAAACTAGGCTGGGATATACCGAGAGTGAGAGAGAGGCGAGAGAAAACTGAAAAGTAGCAGGTTGGTGAATTAAGTCAAGAAACAGGACCCCATAAACATAACATGCAAAAAAAAAAAAAAATAGACACCCAATGCATCAGTGGATCTAGTCATGTAGGACCAGGTTGGAATTATCACTGGGCCCAAGTAGGAGGAGGAGGACATGAACCCTGCCAAGTACCAATATATAGCGCCATCTGCACAACACTACAGCTCCACAAAAATAATCTCCTCTAGTCCTCTATTTGTCTATATATAATAATAATAATAAAACTGAAGGCGTAGACCAGTAGGAGCCGTCTCGTAGAAGGTATGGCTGATGTATGTGGATGAGAGGTGAGAGGGGGAGGGAGAGAGAAACAGAACAGACCAGACTACAGAGAGGTGGGCGGGTGGGTTGGTTGAAGTGGTGTGGACTTTGTGCAAGTAGTAGACTCTTTCTTTCTTTCTCTCTCTCTCTATCAATCTTAAAGTCTGCAGTGGCCCAAAAACCAAGTTTGATTTTTGAAGGCACATACATGAAAAGAATGGAGTATGGAGTTTAATTTAAGTAGGGAGGAGGAGGGGGGAAAGAGAGCCGAGAGGGAGGGAGAGAGGGAGGGAGAGAGAGAGGCAAAACTCAAAATTACGAGGCATGGAAATAGCCAAAAAGTACGGTTACCGAAAAACCTCGTCTCCTTCCCAAATCGAAGCCTGATTTCTTCATGTCATGTCATGCAGGTAGCAACTAGTAAACCCCCCCAGCACAGCCTTAGCCTTTACCCACGATTTTGTCAATCCCATTTCGGCCAGCTCAATCACAACTCCGCAGCTAGAGCCAGCACCTCACCCGCTTTATCTTTTTCACGTTTCCTCTGCCAGATCTCTCGGAGTGAGCCTAGGAGATGTGCGTTTGTTGAGATTTTCCTTAATGGGTCTCCTGGGTTGTCAGGGATTTTAGAGATTTTATGTTGAAAAGGAAGTGGTCTGTATACCACCATATATTATTTGTTTTGGGAGAGACCTACTTCGTTTTGGCGTCTTTGTCCGTTTTTTTTTTCGTGTTTTCTCCCCAAATTTGCAAGGAAAAATTGTTTGACTCGTTATCTCTAATGGGCTTTTGTGGGTTTTCTCTTTGAGAGATCTTGGAAGGTTCTTCAACTCTTCTGAGTTCTTAGATAGTTTTGAGCAGGAGACATGGAGAGCGGTGTCGCGAGAGATGGTGCTTTCATGTTTAGCGATGAAGAGTTGGATGGGATAAGTGGGTTGAGGAGAGCAGGAGATTATATCGAGGTGACGTGTGGGTGTACGAGCCATAGGTATGGTGATGCTGTGGGGAGGCTTAGGGTTTTCGTTGGAGGTGATCTCGAGATCAGCTGTGAATGCACCCCTGGTTGTCAGGAAGGTTAGCACATTCTGTTTTAGTTTTCTCTCTCGCTTTTGGTCTTCTTTTGGGTAATGGCCAATGGGTCTGGATTTATATTCATGTTGAGATGTCTTTATCTGCCTCAAGAACTGGGTTCAACGTCACGAAAAGACTTTTGTTCTTTAACCTGTTCGAAGCCTCGAACGATGTAGCTTTTCTCTTTTATACATGTAAGTGTGTGTAGATTTGTCCAAGTGATGGAGCTCTTTTTAATCTTCTGCAACAAACTTCTGGAGTCTTTCTGTTTATTTCTTTCTTTATTACTTTGTGCTTGAAACAGTACTGTAAAGTTCAAAGCATGTATCCCTGGGCTTGAGTTTGGTAAATGACCAATCGTTTTCCTCTTTGGGCGGGTGTTCTGCCATCTAAACCATGAAATTATTGTTGACTGTAATATCCTAGGCTTGATGCCGAAGGATTGGTTTAAGATGTTATTCTCTAGGCCTATGTCTTCTGTAGGATCTTCTATCACGATACAAGATGGCATTGCTCAGTCGAGAGGTTCTCTATTTCCTTTTTCTGATGGCAGTGCCATCCACTTTTGTAGTTAGTGTTATTTCCTCTTAAGCAGGTACGCTTTGGCTTAGGCGGATTGAAGGCTGATGCTACTGGAGGATTTTATCCTTATCATATAGCTGTACATTGAAAGTGTCCAACTAACTGCTTACAAGCAGGTGGGCTTATGGCTGGTTGATTTAAGATAGTTTATCAGGATTATTTCCTGTCCTTTAGTTCTACCTTGAATACTACTCTGGAAAAAATTAAGCATTGTCAGGTCACAGGTGTGTGCATTTTGTACTGTGGAGAAAGATGCTTACATCTCATCCAGTTCTACTTACATAATTTACTTTGACAGATCAGTAAAAAGAGGAAATGAATGTAGAAAGAAGAAATGTGGTACTCTGGTCATCTTCACCATTCTCTTTAGCACAAAAGTGAAAGTCCTTAATAAGCCCTTGTTCAATGTACTCTTGGCATTTTTGACTGATAATTGCTGATTTTGATGACTAGATAAGTTGACCCCAGCTGCTTTTGAGAAACATTCTGGACGAGAGACTGCCAGGAAATGGAAGAGCAATGTATGGGTGATAGTGAATGGAGAGAAGGTTCCACTGTCAAAGACTGTGCTGCTTAAATACTACAACAAGGCATCCAAAAATGCCAACGGTCATCACAAGTCCCATAATGGGCGACCATGTCATCGGGATGAATTTGTTCGCTGTACAAAGTGTAACAAGGAGCGCAGGTTCCGTCTCAGGACCAAAGAAGAATGCCGGATTCATCATGATGCCTTGGCCAATCGTAGCTGGAAATGTGCTGACCTGCCGTATGACAAGTAAGCTTCTCTCCCAACTGCTATTGATAAAATTTGAGTGATTTTGAATTCTTTTGTTGAAGTTTTGCATACACTATTCCACAAAAAAGTTGACAAATTATATGCTTTATGCAATAATATCATCTGAAAGTGTTGATTTCATCCTTCTCCAATTAGCTACATGTGAGAAAGCCCACTTTGTTTTATCAAACAGTATTCTGCAATTTGTTTTTAATCTTGTTTTCTGTTCTCCCCTGGCCCGTTATGCTCCACCATTTGGAATAAAGTAACAAATGCTTCAATTTGTTCTTATTGTGTTTTCTGTGGTCCACCATTCGGAATAAGATAACAAATGCTTCAATTTGTTCTTATCATGTTTTCTGTGATTTACTCCATTACTGTCTTGTTTTCTTTCCATTGACAATGAGCGTCTAATTCATTTATGAATGAGTTGGGTATATGTAACATATTACATATCCCATTGATACTTGTGGCATGAGTCTGACATATGGGGGTATACTACTAACCCTTAATTGAATTCAGTGATCTTAATATGCACCAAATGATTCTTATGCACTTTATATTCTGGGAACTATATTGCAAAAGTTCTTCATTTCTTAATTGGGAATGAAGAGTGTTGATAACCTCTGTTGTATTATTGATATCGTGATTCTTCTGTATGAACACACGTGTGTGTTTGCACTTATGGGTGACTTTGGTTTTGTACATTAATATGCTAAAACCTGAACCATCTTTCTTACACAAATGGAGTATGCACATGAAGACAATCAATTTACCAGTAGTTTAATCGTGCTGTGTGCACAATTGTGATAGATGACATAATATTCAAAGAAAAATAATTGCACGCTACTTCATTCTAACTCCACCCATTGGTATTTCTAGTAACAATTTGTCAGACTTTTTTTGGTCAAATGTGTGGGTTAACAAGCTAGAGACAGTATTGAATAGTGTGCCCTATTCAGCTGAAGTTTAACTGTCATAGTTTCACATCATCACCATCATCATCATTGTTATTGTTGTTGAGTTCATTGAATCTTGTCAATTAATCTAGGATGCTTCTCTCCATGGTTTTATCTAAAACTTGATGGATGTAAAATTTTCCATGATGCTGAATCTATTTAATGTGTCTAAATGAAAGTGGCCTTAAAAGGCTGCTCTCTGAATGAGCATGTTGGTGCTTGTGGCATGGATAAATGGTTAATTTTTTTTTTAATTATTAAACAATGGTTGAACTTTTTTGAGGTGAGTTCTTTCTCTGCTCTATTTTTGGCATGGGAGGAAGTGAGGAACAAAGAACAAGGGTGCCTTTACCAGATAGATAGGGGATAGAGACTGGTCCTCATATTTCTTTTAGATGTAAATCTGGAGTTTTGAGTTGTGGATCTCTGTGCATCTGACTCTTTCTTAGCTGCACTCACCCTTGGGGTAGGATCTCAAATTTCACTTTGAACTGTGGCATCAAACGCAAACTGATATTTCTTCTTGACAATTTGATGGCCATAGTGAGAATATGATACCAGATTTTGTGTATGCATCAATTTGACAGAACCTATTCTTTCTAAGAAAATCTTTAACATAGCCTGCCCCATGTCCAGCTCAAAAATTTCTTTATGAATGATGTTGGTTTCATCAAAGTGATAAATCTTCCCTAACAGAAATTCAGTTTCTATTGAAGATGTATATGGCTTTTGAGAACTTGTTAGGGATGTATAATTCTTGGATACCACCATCTAAGTATCATAAAGACAAATTGTTCTTTGGTTTCTTTTGTTAATAAAGGATTCACTTGAAAAAAAACCTGGATCTCTGGGTCCATAGGTTTTTTACGGCTTAGAAGTTTATTGTGATTGATGGCTATTCAATGAATTTCATGCATTTCCCCTATGGAGGAGTTTGTTCTCCATGGAGAATCACTAAAGCTTTAGAGGAGTTTATGGTGCGAAATACAAAAATTTGCAAACCATGCCATTTTCATAGGCACAAGTTATGTCCAAATTCTCTGGATAATAGTCAGTTGCTCAAATACATTGATTCTTGGTTTTTCGTTGAGTTCCCTAATTGATATTGGTGTAAGTTCAAGTGATGCAAATATGTGGAATAAGTTAACATCCAGTAAGTCAGGATAACGTCAAAAAACATGCTACTGAACAACAAAGTGTGGGACACTTTCAATTCTGTGAAGGAAGGTCATCTTGCTTTCTCTTATACCTTTAATGAGGTGAGTAGGTGAACAACAAAGTCAGTGCTATTGCCAAAGGTAATGTGGATAGAGTGTTAAATACATTTGTACCATCTCAATCATTCTGCAGTGTACTTAGTATTTTCATGTTAGCTTCTTTGCCTTTCTGGTTAAGTTCAACATATGTGCATAAAAAATATACATGTATGCACATACTTAGATAATATGTATTGCTGATAAGGTAGAGCTCCAATCAAATATAGTGGTGGGAGCAATTCCGGAAGCACTCAATATTCCACAAGCCTGTTTGGCTATGTCACTACTTTGAATTTTGTTCCTTGTTAAAGCCTTGTTCATGAGGAGCATCAGTTGAAGGTGCCCCACAAGCTTGATGGGTTTGTACATGATTAATTGGTCTATTATTGACTAAAAACATGCTTGATGCTTTCCCTATGAAACTAGATATTTCCTGAGAAGCAATTAATTGGTCTATTATTGATGGGTTGTACATGATCAGTTGTGTATCTCTAGCTCAAATCTTAAAATACTAGACTGAATAATATGAAGATAGATCATTTCATTTTGAACAGAGCAAGGTGGCTTTATGCAACAGTGTGAACAGGAGACAGTGGGTTGTAATGCAGTGTCCAAAGCCATACCAGGTGTCTGACATGGCAAAGCCCAGATTTCTGACATTCCAATACAGCTCCCTCATCATGTCATGAGATAAGGGCCATTACCAGTGTTGGTACTGGCCATACAGGGCCTTGGAAGGGTGGGCTGGATATGGACATTTTTTGGGCACAAAGTGGTTAGAGTTGAACCTTTGTTATTGCAACTTGTTAGCCTGAGATTTTACAAATTTCTCTTGTTTGTTTGACACCTGAAATTCTTTATAAGATAGTGTCCTTATTAACCTTGCTATGTGGGTGACGAATTAGATTGTTGCCTGATTAAATTATGTTATGCTATATGATAGTCTTGTGAATTTGCACCAATTTTCTGTTTAGAATTCTGCCAATTTCTTCTTGATTTCAATAACTGTTTTTCTTCATCTTAACTGAAATGTGTTATCAGAACTGTTTTATCAATTGTGAGGTTAGGCTGATCTGATTGGTTTTTTATCAGCTCATCTTATTGGCTTAGTTGCTAACTACGAGAGTAGATGATACTGAGCCTTCTTTTGTCATTCTTCCTAAACTCAACTAATAAAAACTTCTCATTTGGTTAAGCCCTATGAGTATAGTATGGCAAGCTGGATTTTGTTTGCCCTATGTGTTTTATTCATTTGGTTAAGCCCTATGTGTTTTATTTTTTCATGGTTCTAAAGTAAGAATCTGCCTCGTGAAACTTTATTTATTGGAACAGAAACTACCGGGAGTACAACAATACTAACTAGTGACTTGTATCTTTGCCTCATTTTTTCCTTTTATTTTTTTGATAAAGTTTTTTTTTTCCTCCTTTTATTTCTGCGGCCATTACCTGATGTTGGTCCTAGCTATCTGGGAAGTGGGATCTTTTGCATGTGTGCATCTGTTAAATCTTTTTATTCCTTGGTGGTTTCATGAACACCATGAGTGCTTCTTAGAGATTTTGCTGTTACTGTTTATCTGTTCATTTGTTCTTCATACTCAAAAGTTTCTAACTTACAGTGGATGCTTTATTCTTGAGAGTTTTTTTTTTGCTATATTCCTTGTTTTTTAACAGAATTTGGGTAATTGAATATTCTTATAAACCAACCTCTATTCCGTTCATGTCACTGTTTGGGTGTCTACTAATTTATATGTTCTTTTAAGTTCAGTTTCTTATTTGGTGTGTATTATCATTTGTTGCATATCAGAATAACCTGTGACAATGATGAAGAGCGAGCAAGTCGTAAAGTGTACAGGGGTTGCTCCCGATCTCCTACTTGTAGTGGATGTACCTCCTGTGTCTGCTTCGGATGCGACATTTGCCGATTCTCAGACTGTAGCTGCCAGACCTGTGTTGATTTCACACGAAATGCAGAAGCTTAGTCCCAAAATCAGCCCCTAAAATTGAGGCATTCCTTGTTTTTTGGTGGATAGATGGATGGCAATGCAAATTTTTTGCACTATTTATGAACAAAACATTATAAACTTCTGATCGGTGTTAATGATAAAGACTTCTTATTTTCAGTGTCGACTTGAATTCCCAGTACTATCGAATTTAGTTGGAAATTTACTAGTAAAAAATATTCCTTTTATTTAGAAGCATAAGATGTAGATCACATGGGTGGTGGAAATAAAAGGATCGGAGAGTGTGTTTGTGGAAAATGTCTCGATAAATTTCTCACTTATCTGGATAAATGTTTTGTAACACTTCCTGAATAAATTCATTTACTTTGATTTTCAAAATGATCCTTTTACACAAATAACTAATATTAAAATAAAAAGACAAATTTGTCCCGTTATCATTATGGTTTATAAACTTTTCTCCTAGGTGGAAAAGGTATTTGCCCACATGGGATAGTAAGTTTTATTCGGGTAGATGCTCTCTTTACTGTGCAATTAATTACAACATTGGTCAATGGGTTTTATTTACAAGTAAACCAACATTATAAAGTTGATTATGAAATTCATTTATACAGTCTGAAATGAACCGAGTGTGTCAGTCTTTGGTTGGATTCCAGGTGGCTTAGAATCTGTATTCGAATTTTATTAGTCCTTACATGGAAATGAATTGGAATGGTTTCCTGATCGAATTCGAGTTCAGATGTGACCTTACTCGCTTCCAATTTGCTCAGTTTCTCTCCCTAGTTCAGGAGCCACTTTGTCAACCAGTTGGAATGTTGCTTGTGGGTGTGGCGAAATTAAGCCTTTATATTCGTTCACCACCACCCGTGATCCGTCTCTCATTCCAACAATTTGATGGTGAGGACGTGAATTCGACTCAGCTCGTACTAATCCATGCTGATCTTATCTAGTCTTGTCAAACTGTGTAATGTGATTGAGATTGTCTTCATTCCTCCACGACTGATAAGTTTCGTTCTACGTGGTGACTGAAGACTTAACAGCCCAAGATTTCCCTTTTTTTGTCTATTCCTTTTGAAGGTGGTGGTGCAGCGTTAGCGACGCAGCCGCAAAAGAAAAAGAAAAAGGGTAAGAAGCTGACGGAATCGAACAAATACAAATTACAAATATGAAATAGTACAGTACATTGAGTGGGTATGAGTTGGGTCCCCGATTTCTGAGGGCATCTCCATGATTGAGATTTGAGATACGATACGACTCTCCTTTATATTACTTCTGCTTCAGAGGACCAAGGAAAGTGGACGTGCGGGGTATATGCTTCAGAGCTCTCACGCATGGTCCAAAGTTGGCTGGCTTTCTTCTTAACGTTGCTCTTGTCTCTCGTGTGTGTCTTCTGTGTCCTGCTATATATGCTAATTCTCAATCTCTGAGCCGTCTTAATTTTCTTTGCTTCATTCTAAATGTCTAACAGTATAAGGTCGAGTTATCGCTTCTTTGGTTTTAGTAGTATCCTTCAGGAACTGTGTTTCTATTTCTTTAATTTCTTCCCTCTTTCCAAACTATTCATCAGTTCCTTCAATTATATAACTTGCTGGTATGAAGACTCAAAAGGCTAGAAAGGCCGGAAAAGTGAATTAATTGTTTACCCATGGGCTCTGGATGAGACTATTATTCAATAAGACTGGGCGATCATCTAATGTTAATCGCTTGAGATACGGAAGCATTTGGCATCTGGATAAAGCTGAACTCATTCACCAACATTGGCTTCATCCTTTCCCGGTGCGCCTGTTGGATCATCATGTATGTGTAAAGGATTTCCGAATAAAATCAAAAGGTCAATATCCTCATTAAATTTTCTGATACCCCAGAACCCAGAAATCTGAAGTGAGTACATCAACACAGCTGAAAAGGCAAAGCTTATCCTCTATTACCAGATAGATGTTTATAGCCTCCAGAGCCGTTGTTTTGAATGATAACTTTATCGTTGCTGGTGCTCATATTGGTATACCACTTGACAAATTTTATGTTGAACCCAATGGATCAAAGGCTATGCTGCATTCCATATATAACAGCTCTCACATTTGAGCTTAAGACTAACATCCAGCAGTAACAGCCCCTGAAAATCTTTGCGCTGGTTCTATTTTTGCGCTTGGCATTTATAATCTTCTACTAGTGATATTCATGTTAAAGCCATTTCCAGGTAGCTTGGTGCAAGTGATGACAGACAAGTAGATATGTTATAAGGACCCATAAACCCTGAGGATCAAAAACTATAGAACTACATGCAGATTCACAGATGCAGACTCAAACTTGGTATTCCCTTTCCCCATAATTAACTTTGTCTTCCTATTCACCCCTGTTCTCGTTAATTGGTCTGGAAGGCTGTTGGCATATCTAAGTATTCCATCTGAATGAGAAGTTCATCTTGGAAGCCAAAGTATTTTGCTCTAGGACATTTTGCCCTTAATACAAACCAACTAACTACTCATTAACAAATAACAATCCCCTTCAACTATCAAACCCAATCCAGTCTAAAGAAAAATTATATTTAGCAACAGTGTCTAAACTCTGAAGGAGGGCAAGAAGTCTTTTCCTTATTGGCCATGAACAGCTTAGCAGAATGGTCCATTAATGACCACTGACTCCTATAGAGGTCCTGTGTTACTAGAGGGTGTAGCAACCACCAGCTAGCGTTTAGTTGTTATTCCCAGTCCCAGATCAAGTGCCCCTCCTAGTCTATCAACATTTTGTTATCTTTTTGAAGCATAACAGACAACCAACAAAGATAATTTCAAAATAGGGTAGAATTCTCTGATGAAAGAACCACAGAAATTACAATATGTGCAAATCAAACATAACACAACACCCAAATATTACCCTTCACAGTTCAGACTTTCATTACTAGTTTACTACCTTAGCAATAATTTAGCAGGCTATCACCTCACTCCTCACATAGCATGGCTAACATCACCCACATATATAATCTCGAATAAAGAGGTTATCAATCATAGACATGAACTTTTGCTCAATCATGTTTTTCTCTACATTTTTCCTTTTTCATTTATCATGACTATGAACAAACCTTTGTTATTTCAATTTCCCCAAAGAGAAAAAATGACAAATTAGGAGATATGTAGCATTATTGAAACTCAAATATATCCTAGTCAAAATGAGAAGAGTTGGTAATACCTTTTACAGTGAGCTGCTGCCTTGCAACCAAACCTATAAAATTCACCTCTATCGTGCAACCGCTCTTCCTTGCAGGAAGCTGGCAAATGGCAATGGCGAAAAGCCCATCATCAACATCAATGTTTAATCTATTATATTGATGTTGTCTGATTCGAGGTGTTTCGAATCAAAGACACAATTAGATAGTCTTGCCAATTGGATGAGGTCGAGGAGGAATGATGAAACCGTGCATTGAAATCTACAACCAAGAGAAAGGTCAGAGGCCCGAGGAGTTGTTCCCCGGGTAGGTATTTCAACATTCAAGTCAGTAGGGTAGAGAAAGATGTGGTTGAGCTGAGCAGGTTGAAATTGCGCTGGTCTAGGCTAAAGAGATAGTGCGGAAAGGTATTCAAATAGTGTTATTCCAAAAGTCTCTTACCTCTCTTACCTTGAGCTGAGCATGTTGGATATCCGTGTCCCAAGTGGATAGAGCTTTTGGGGTTGTCGAGATGAGGGCATTTGCCGAGGTCTTTGGGAGGTTTCCTCTTTCCCAATAGAGTCCGCTTCCTTGTCCGTGCAGAATATTCCTTCTTAATTAGTTGTACTCTTCCGTTACATGTAATATTGGCATAGCCTGAGAGGAGTAGCTGCAGAGATTACCATGTGGCCTCTTTGACCATCTCAAACATCACTTAAACACATATCAAGATGATTAGAGGTGTAAATTGGGTTGAGTCGCCCGCAGCTCGACACGATTTTGGACCGGCTTGGCACGATAGCTAATAGGCCATGCCAGGCCCGGCACGGAGGTCCGTGCCATGCTGGGCCGGGGGTTCGAGGCCCATGGGCCGACACGGCATGGCTCGACAACACGTGCCGTGTCGCCCGCGGCCCGCGTGTCGGCACAGTACGAAGCACGACCCACCATGGGTCGGCACGGCACGACCTGCCAAGCTCGTAACAAGCCGCGTTCGGCCCACTCGGGAATATAACCGTTAGGCCCCCCTCCCAAGGGGGGGGGGTTATAGAAATAGCCCCCCAATAGCTATAAACAACCATATTAGGGGGGTATTTCTATATTTTGCTTATAGGGGGTTGAAAAAATGACATAAATGCCCCCAACAGCTATATAACAACTAGTTTAGGGGGGCATTTTGGGTAAAGTTATAAGTAACTTTACAATGACCAAAATATCCCTCCCAACAACTAAATAACAGATAATTTTTTGGGTATTTTGGGCAATTGAATTATGTTCAATTCCTATAAATAGCCCTATCCTCCACCATTCTCGTCACACCAATTCAATAATTCTCTTAATTCTCTCTCTCTCATACTTGTACATTCTCAATTTTTTGCAAGCTGAGAAATTCTAATTAGCTAATTGTCTGATTCTGCATTCTCCAATTCTCAAGTCTCAACTTTATTGAAATTTCAACTTTCAACAAGAAGGCTTGCTCAACCAGCTCAAGTATCTCAATTCAGGAGGCTTGGACGTTGAAAGGCTTCAATCATTGAAATTAAGTTGGGATTTTGAACCAACAATCCGGGTAAGTCGAATTAGATTAATTTTTATCTTTTTAGAATTAAAAAAAATGGCCGACCCATCTCAAAACCGATTCCCCAACATGTTCACCATGGATGACATTCAATCGCATCACAACAGTATTAGTGTTAGCACTAATGTGTTTGATGTCGATGGAAGTGGAACTCTCACCCCCAATAGTAGTAGTACTATGGGAAAAAGGAGGGCTTCTAAGATGAGTAGCCCGGTTTGAAAAATTTTCAAAGTAGAGGATATTGAGGGGAAGGGGAAAATGGCCGTTTGCCAAAAATGTAGGAAAGACTTTAGTTATTGTAGCAAGGGTGGTATGGGTCATTTGAGCAGACATCTGTTCACACATGAGCGAGAGGGAGATGAAGGGAGAGAAACAACCCAAACACAGATTGGGAGGGGGACTAGTTTTGGTACTTTTAGATATTCACAAGAAAAAATGAGACAAGAAC